TTTTTTCTTTTTGATACCTACATACCATAATGATGGTCCGAAACGGAAATTCAGCAGTAAAAAAAATATTAACACCGTTTTTATTTGTTTTTGGTGGTCGGTGTCTATATAGACGAGTGCACGGATGGATTTGAGTTCACTCACTCGACAACAAGTGACACAACAACGGGGCCCTGTTTACTAAAAATGAACACATATGTGTTCATTTTTATTAAACAGGGCCCCGCTGTTGTGTCACTTTTTGTCGAGTGAGTGAACTCAAATCCATCCGGGCACTCGTCTATGTTCAAAAAGCTTTAACTTTTTAGTGAGTGCATCTAAATTTCTGAAATTTTAGCTGCTGGTTGATCAAATCAGTCGTAAGTTTTTAAAAGGACGTATGTAACATTTGATAGTATAGATTAGAAACATTGGATAGCAATTTCCATAGGAGATTATTAAATTCTAATTAAAAGTTAATGCTTTTTTTAATCTGTTTCTGCTATTGGTTGGATGAAGGGATGACGTTTAAGAGAATTATGAAAAATGTTGAGTTTTCGCAAACACGGACAAGACTTTTGATAAAACATTGATTCTTCACATCACATCTTGATTGTTACATACACCCTGCATGATTCGTCGATTTGACAGATCGGTTTTAACATGCGTCAGATCAGATACACCGGTTTTTGTTTTGCAGTGAAGATACGTCTGTAACTCGGAAAGTATTGACTGTCTCTTGCACTGGGAATATGTGCAGAAGCAAACTGGTGGTGCATAAAATATATATATATATTTATTATATTAAGGTATGTTTTTTTATGTAGTAGCTGAATCCCGTTAAAATCCTATTTGTATCTACTAAGAAACAACTTGACGCATCTGCTGATTGAAAATATTTTTTTTAAGTCATGTTGCAGACAGCTAAGGCATGTTGACAATAAAAGTGTGTATAAAAACCGTTTTAAAAACAATGAAAGAGAACCACAAAGGCCGTCAATTAAATATATTTTCCATAATTCATTAAAATGTTAAACCTTGTTTTACATTAACTCGTAGGAAAAGCATGTATTTTATAATCGGTTAGAGTTAGAAGCAAAACATCTATTTTAATTTTTGCGACCACGTTATGCTTGTAATATTCATAATTTAAGATATTGTTTTTGCTTGGGTTGCAATGCTTCTTATTTGACAACTATTTCTAAAATAGTAATGATGCGAATCCGCTGTATTTTTTTTTTTCATTTCTAGTCAGAACTTTCTTTTAATCGGTTCAAAATATACTGGAATCCCTTAATGAAAAAAATCACACTATCTAACATGAAATTTTCAGAGATTATTCTCAAGAGAGTTCTGAACAAGAAAAATCTTGCGGTTAAATTATGCAACCAATAACAGCTTCTATATACGGAAATGGATTTGGAATAGGAACTCTCAGAATATCAGTTCAACTCAGGAATCTGCCAACATCCAGTAGGAGCTGAGTTTATATTAAATACCATTTTATTTGAGTAATTTTGAGCATTGAGCAACCATAAGTTCACAACTCTACTTAAAATTTGAAATGAACAACCATGCTCAAACTACACTACCCAGTAATTAAGTTGGTTGTATTTTCAAGGTTTAAAAATTCATTTCCGGATATTCCCTGATTTTCCAGGTTTTCCCAGGTAGTCGACACCTTAAATTAGATCAACTAAGACTTGGATAAAGTCTGTAGTATCGATATGTCCCAGTTTTTGATGATCTGATAGAATACGTTATCTTAATTCCAGGTAAATTTGTAGAACCTAGAACATCTGATATACATGTCAATAGGTTGTGCAACATTTACATAGGCACATTGAATGTGTTTGGACATATTTCGATACTACAGACATTTTCCCAATCTTGGATGATTTAGTAGAACACATCATCTGAATTTCAGGACGAGTGAGAACGAAAAACATCTGGTATACATGGCAAAAGGTCGTGCATGATTCACGTAGACCCTTTGAATCTGTTCGGACGTATTTCGATACTACAGAAATTTCCCCATCTGAAATCCAGGATAATTTTGAGAACTTAGAACATCTGATATCCATGTTAATTCGTCATGTATGATCCACACAGATACTTTGAATATGTTTGAACATATTTTGAGCATAATCCTGTGCTTTGAAAAGAATCATCAAATCATCCGTACATTCCTGAATTTACGCTTTTTCAACGGCACCGGGTATGTTCTTCCTTCTGGTTAGAAATACCTCAGAGCATGATTATGATTAATTGGGAAAAGCAGTTTTTGTTTGGAATCATTATGTTACCAGCTGGTAAAACAGCGATAATAGCAAGGTAACATGATGTTTACCCCTTGGGACCCAAAAACCTACTGGAATAAATCCGGCCACCGAGTCTCAATTTTTTTTTTGATCATATCTTGAAACTTTAATATAAAGTGAAACCTACTCCAAAAGTTTAAAAAAAACGGGTTAAACATTCAGATAAACAGCAGAGAAGTCTATAAACCCTCCTTACGATTTTACAGTTCATTTGGATACGTTCAGCTCACATTGGCTGGTTTATTACTATGAGTGTCTATAAAGGGCCGCGCACAATGGATCCGTTTGCGTTTCGTTGACGTAAATTTGACGGATAACCCATAACTGTCAAATTAACGCAAACCCAACACAACCGGATCCATTGCCCTTAAGTTCAATATCAGACAAACATACCGACATTGAGAATAAGGGCGAATGTAGCAAAAGTAAACAAGGATTTGTTCCGCGAATTTCTCGAGAATGAAAACTCACCGAAGTAAACCACCACGATGATGATGTAGATGGAGATTCCCGCTATCCGATAGAGCTTATATGGATAGACTTTGAATTACGATAAATTTACGAAAGAACGTGGTAACCAGTGAATCCCGATTAGCAATTTCCCGGTTTCACCCAGATTTTTTTGGAATTTTGGAAATTTTCCCCGGTGCATAAAACCGGAAGCAGAAGGGATCACTAGGTTAAATGGGTCATTACTAAGATAGTAGCATTTTTGGTCAAATTTGGTTCTGCGTTCGAATTCTTCAAAATTTGTCTGTGTTATAACTGCCCTATAAATTCACTCAAAACTGTTTACAGGATTTAATTTGAGTATTCTCAAGCAGTTCCTAAAAATAATTTCCCTTTATAAATTTTTGTTTGAGATTCTCTCTGGGTGTAACTTGAATTTTTTTTTATAACAATACATAAATTCTCTGCAGATCAATCCAATATACTCATAAAAAAATCAATTTCATATTTTCTTTAAATGTTAAAGCTTTTTTCTAGAACGTTACTGTAGCTTCATTCCATGGTTTTATTTAAAATTCTCAAATCTCAGAATTTTGTTAAATTTTGTTCAGAATTATCTTGGGCTAAATTCTTCTGACATTTGGCTTGGAAATTTCTTTAAAATTCCATAGAAATTCGTGATGCCGTTGGAATTATCCTCGGATTTCGCTTAAAATTATTCTCAGAATTATTTTGCAATTGAATCCTAAAAATCTAATTCGCTTGGTCCTGGAATCCTCTTCTAAATCGTCTTGAAGCTACTTAAAAATTCTACTCTGAACTCACACAACTGACTTGGAGTTAAAACCTAAACTCTCTTAGAGCCAATCCAGAGTGAACGACATATCCTCATTCATATCTAATTTAGCCACACATTTGGCATGCATATCTTTTAAAAGTTCAAAATCTTATTCTATTTTCGGGTAGTAATTTTTGTTCCCGATTTGTCATCGAAATTCACGGCTTTTTCCTGATTTTCCCGATTTCCCAGTTCACTAGGCACCCTGCGAAAGAAGTGATTGTCTACGTTTGCGCCATTGGTCCTTATGAATGCTCAGTGTCGATACGCCATATCTGCTCCACACACCGCATAAATAAATTTTAATATTACATCCAAGATGCACTTCAATCATGTCGAAAATCTCATGTTATTTTTATGGCCACAAAAATAAACAAATGCAGTAAAAGCAGCGCAATTCATGCACTGTATTTATGATAATTTTATCCTTTTTGGCATGTAATATTACACCATATTTTTGACACGATTGAAGTGCATTCACTTTGATGTGATATCAAAATTATTTTTTTGCTGTTCACCTCTTATGGAGGTAGTAAGGTGCTAAGCTATAGTTTTCATCATAGACTTGCATTGTTCTAAACACCTGCATTATCAAGTATTCATAGTTGATGGTGTTATTCATTCAACCCCGATCAAACCTTCTGCTTTATTAACAATATACGATAAGATAACTCACATCAATCGGTTCACCGTCACGATTTCCTATAACAAAAGAATCCAAATCGAGCGGCAGTTTCTTATTGTTTATTTTCTTTTGTGATTCATTGACCAGTCCATTTCAATCAATGAACTTTGCTATCTTCAATTTTGTCCCGGTTGTAAATTATTTCATAGCTTCATTCCTCTAATAATTACACAGTAAAACAATGTAATATCGATCCACGGAATTTAAGTTGATGTGTGAAATTTAGATGTAATTTAGTAAAAAGCAGATACAATACTACATCCATGGATGTAAATGTGTACACAATATCTAAGTACATCTTACCCTGACCCCACAATTATGGATCACTTTCATTTGATTAAAACGCTAGGCTGACAGATTCATAATTGTTTTTAGCTGATCCATAATTCTCGCGTAACACGAAAAAAAGGCTTATGATTTTTGATCGATCCTCTTCATCGAGTGTGTTGTTTTAGGCACAATCATCTTCATTCGAACTGTGCTACAAACATATCGAGAAATTCGTTTATGTTGCCGTGGTAAATCAAAGAGAAAGTCGATGAAGAGAATCGATCAACCAGAAATGTTACGCGAGATTTGTGGGGTCAGTTACAATGTTATATTACACAACCGATGGAATGACCTGTGTGCAGCAGTTTCGATGTAATAATCAACAGTTTTTTTTATGTGAGCTAATAGAACGTAATAAATCGTGCTAACTCTGGTTCCTTTTTTGCTTCCTCTACAGATGCAGCAACTTCCGCTTCCGATGACGAAGACAATGAGTTCTACGATGCACAAGAGGAAGGTGGTTCCGTCGCTTCACAGGAGGATAGTTCGTTCATATTGAAAATTCCGGTTGCTAATCACCGACGTAACTCCAACGACGCTACGGGTAGCTCCTCAGAGGGCGAAGAAGGCAATAGTGAAACACAGCAAGTAAGTTTCGTTATATTTTGCTTGACTAGAGTCGTAGCAGTAAATCATATCTAAATTGTATATGTGGTGTGCATACAAGCAGCACGCTGGTTTATTTTTTTCAACTTTTGAAAGATGGACAGGAAAACCGGGAATTGACAGGTTGAAAAATAACCGGGAAAATCGAACGAAAAACCCGGGAATTTGACGGGAGATCAACGAAAAATCAGCAAACCTTAATATACGGTCAAATTTTCAGAATCACTTAGTGAACCAGAGGCAAAAGAAAGACTTGCACCATGAGCTTTTCGTCTTATTGTAATTACTCAACAATATTGCAAATTGATTTTTTATACCTACTCCATTCCGGATGTAATGTGCATGAGCCTCAAAGTAATATATTCAAGAAGCCGGACTTTGAAAATAAAATACGTGTGAAAATCAAAACTCAACTAAAACATTTCCGGGATTTGATTTTTTCGGTTTCAACTCAAAATTATCAAGCAATTATTATTAAACTTCCCATGATATTAATCCCTAATTAGCTTGGAAATCTACTTCGAATTTTCATGATATTCTTATTTAAACTTACGGAAAACTCTTTTCGTAATACCTTGGAATTCACTTTGGCCCTTGAAACTCTCCACTTAATCATCCATAGAATTCCTTTAAGCTATCCTGAGTATTCGAATCCTTTGAAGTTCTTCTCACAATTTTCTTTGAAGTCTAGTCAAAACTCTCATCACAAATGCTTCGGAAGTCTGTTAAAAATCATTTGAAATTCTCCCCAGGAATCCTTTGGAATTTTCTTGGAAATTTCATTAGATTTTTTTTATTAATTGAGTAATGTTTTTTTTTTTAATGTCAGAATACGATTTCTTCGGTATTTTTCACGGAATTCCCTTAAATCTATTCCATTAAATTATAATTTTAATTTCTTTGACTGCTCATTTAAAATATCTTAGGCTTCTCATTAAAAATAACCTGCTGTACTCCTCAAAATCCCAATAGAATTCTAATCAAAATTCCCTTTGAATTTTCCTTGAAGTTCTCCTCACAATTCCCTTGGAATTATACTTTTAATAACATAGCTATTCAATTCAGAAATTTTTCCGTCTCTCTAGAAATCCCTTTGATTTCGTCTCGGTATTCCTTAGGACTTTTTTCGGGATTTGTTTGTACACACTTAAATTCTTTTTAAATTTTCCTCAAAATCCATAGGTATTCGCTTCAGAATTGTTTAAATTGTTTGAAACTTGAAAGTTTTTCTCTCAGAACCTTGAAAAATTTCCAAGGCTTATTACACTCAAGTCTTTTTTACGCGGTTTTTTACACAGTTGGTGCCCTTGAGTCACAAGTTATACGGTACGTTTGTAACGATTTATCGATAACGATACAACCATGTCTTTTGTATCTCTTTATTAGTTTTTGTTTATCTTGTCACCCGTCTCGATGAGTCTCAACGTCGCCCACTGGTTACCATAGCCGGTCGAACTCCAGACGAATCTAGAACCACACTACCGTTCATACTGGCAACATCGCTCTGATGAGACAACGAAATCCTACCCCCAAGCTCCTCCTCTTTTCCTATCCTTCGACAATGTACCCCTCTAACCTCGGGTAAGCCGCGAGTATTCAGCCCAACTCCTACTAGAATTAAAAGAATTTTGTTACATTCAAAGAAAAATGAATTATCGGCTCCGTAAAGCTAACGCGATTGAGCCTTACAAATAAACGAACTAGATAAAATCTATACATACGGTACAACCTATCGACTTGATTCAGATAGATAGATAATCGAATGGCATACTTAAAAAAACATTTACTGTTAATACAGAAATTTTAAAAATATGTCTGTATGGACCATAGCATGCTAAAAATACAAAAGAAAGATGATGATGATATGGAACTACCACTCACTGTAGCAAGACAACTGTCGGTAGACTGTGGAATATCCTCGTTGTTCGACTTGATCAAGCTCAATTACCTCTAGTTGTACTCAACCTGCCATTGTATGAAGGGCCAAAAATAGTTTGGATGAACCCGTGGGCAACAGGGTCATACAAGCAGGCAAAACACAGGCCATCCAACAGGAGGATGCCCCAATGAGTGGGGAGAAGAGCCCGCCCTCTTTTAACGAAATGTTAAAGACAGCGATTTGGTATTTCCACTCTCCCCATCCACTTCGCTTCAATCGGGTGCCCTGGTGTGGTGAGCCCTCCCGTACCGAGCATATACTGTTTCACATAATAATGGAATGAAAGTTAAGAGAAAAAAGGAAAGATCTCACCGGATATGTTGCAAATGAATCCATGACATCACGATGATTTCGAAGAGCTCCCATAGATATGCTACTGCTACTTCTTCAACCGGTGCTAAAAATGCTATAGCCCCCCCCCCCTCCCCCTGCGTAGACAATTTTAAAATTTGTATGGGCCGTGGATAATTGTCAACCCCCACCCCTCATAAACAGCCCCTAAACAGTTTATGAACAGCCCCTAAATACAAATGGCATAAAAATCAATTTTTTAAAAAATGGTTTAGCATGTGAAAAATCATAATCTTGGTAGGTTTTTTTTTTCATGATACATATCCCCCGTGTAAAAAAAGACCTGATTGTATAAAGATTTATGGTTTTGTTCAAATCTAGGATCATGATAATTTTCCAAATACCCTCATTTTAGGTATTTTTCTCTGTCCCAAATTGTTGAAAAAATGTGCAACTCCGTTTATTTTTTCTTCAAAATATAGGATCACGAAATTTTTTATAAGTCACAAATCTAAAAAATGCCCCTCCCGCTGGACATGGGGGTTGACGTTACTAAAGTGAAGGATTACAGGTGTTATAATATTTTCAAATATTATAATCTTCCTTAGTGGAAAATATCACCTATACGACACTTCAGTAAGCCTCAAACGATTAATTCTTGGTTGTTACTAGGACTTCCGTGATTAAATCGGCTGCTTCACGCAGACTGAGCAATTCTGATGTGTAAATATCAGATTTGTTCTGTAAACAGAGGAACCGGGAGGGCTTATTAGAAACTTCTCAGTCTCACCAAGTAATTAGTAATAGGGTGGGTAAGCCAGTAGTGGAGGTACTAAGCCAATTTATCAATTAAAAAATAAATATACGATGTACACACAATTGTTATACGTCAATCTATAGCTTTCAACCTCTATATTTTGATAGAAAAATATTACATTGTAATAAAATTGCATAAAATTTTAGAAAGATCGTCCTCCATTAATAGGAACACTGTTCCAGTAGTTGTGGTAGTTGCTAACTTTGGTTCCTATAATAGTGGAATGCGTTGGTTTCTTATGGGGTTCCTCTATTATAGGAATACTACCGCAACTATAGGTGCAAAGAAGTGAAAATCTTAAAAAATTAAATATTTTCCATATTTTATAGTCATATTTTAAGTTTGAAATATGCAAATATTCTTTATTTTAGGAGAGCTACCGATGAAAAATAATCTTATCCGGGTCCTCCTCACTATTCCGGCACAACCTCCATGCCGCAACTATAGGTACACCACTATTACTGGAACACCTACCCTATTCGAATTAATGGTTATGTCATTCAAACAAAACTGTTATCAGTCATATTTCATTTTCCTTCATTACTTTTCATTTGATTTTGATATTCTGTTAGATTTTCTTAATTGGTGAGAAGTTTCGAAGCTAACACATGTCCAAGGGCCAAAAAAAGAATCTGTAGGAGGAATTGTAATATTTATCAAAATTTAACTAGAACATATCTTTCTTTTAAAGTATGTATTCTACATTTCAACACAAGGCTTCACCAAATCACTAGATATTGGAAATAGGACGCGGGAGGTCCGCTTAGGAACATACATATGTGCAACATACACACTAAGAATATTTCAAAGATTTCTGTTAAATTTTACCAAAATCTCAACAGCTGAACGTTCGGTAAACAGTTTGGTGTTTACCGAATCGGATCGATGTGATAAATAGAAATGTGAAATATTCTTAGTGTGTAGCTTGAATTAGAAGGAATGTTTGATAATAGATTATTATTACATACCTGTTTTTACTCAATCTGTTATACCGCTTGAACAAATGCTGTGTATATTTGTGATTTTCACTAATAATTTGAAAAATTAGAGCTTTGTATTGTTTTGCCTTATTTTTGACGTAGGACTACGTCTTTGATTTCTATATGGGGGTACACTTTGTGAAAACCGAAAATGGAACATGTAACAAATTAAGAAAGATTTTGAACGTTAACAACTCAGCTGCCCCTGGTCCAATTTCAATAGTTTTATCACCAATCGATCAGAAATATGGCTACGCATCGATAACAATTCTTCCGAATGTTGATTTTCAACAAGAAACTATTGAAAAACTGGTAAATGTCCAGCATTGTCAAAAAGCATCGAATTAACTAACAAATCCACCAATTACCTACATGCATATGCTGCTTCCCCAGCACAGTCGCCAGAGAGTAGTAAGTAGACGAAACAAGTCGAAGTGGCATTCGCTTCCGATCCTCGGGCGCGTGCGAATAGGGAGGATGGAATTGCGTAATATTTTGCACACTCATCGCCATACTCAGAACCACACGCTCCCAACGACCACACCACCGTGTGGTGGTGTTCGATCGTTGAAATTAGTAGCAGCAGTAGCAGTGCTTTTGGCGTGTGGCGTTGAAAATTGTTCTCCAGTAACAACGAAAAGCTGCCTGCAAGCAGCGAGCTGCAGAGCCCACATAAGCAACCATCAAAGGAGGAAGAAGCTGCATCGCTATGCTATGGATCGGAATCACTAGCTCTTCGTGAGTCGCTGCGGGTCGGTTATCTATGCCAAGCGTGTCACCCTCGCTCCAAACGACATACAGCTCGACAGCCTCATCCGTGTTGAACTAGCTAGGATTTGTTTTACTTCATATTTCACAAAATTGCTTTCGAGTGTTAAGACATCGTCTCCCGCAAAGTTTACATTTTTCCCTCTACCAACACATACATCAGGGCTAGATAGATCTCCACAGGATC